CTTACCATGAATGGAGACCAAGGGTCCCAGCCCATACCAAGAGAAACACCCCCAGACCATAATTCCACCTCTGCCGAACTTCACTGTTTGCACAATGCATTCTGGCAGTAGACGTTCTCCAGGTAGACGCCAGACCCAGACTCTGCCATCCGAATGGTAAAGGGTGAACCTTGATTCGTCACTCCAAAGAACCTGTTTCCACTGATCTACAGTCCAATTTCTATGTGCTTTGCACCACATTAACCGGTTGGACTTTGTGATCAAAGGCTTATGGGCAGCAGCAAGACCATGAAAACCAAGCAGATGTGCTTCCTTACAGATGATATTCATTGAAACAATACTCCCAGATGCCTGTTGAAACTCCTTGCGGATGAGGGCCATCAGTTGGGTGCGGTTCTTCCGAATTTCTCTGGACAGCACTCGTTGGTCTCTATCTCCCAGTTTCGTTGGTCTGCCGACTCAGGGCACGTTCCGACAATCACCGCTCACCTTCCACTTCTTAATCGCATAGGCTACTGTTGATTTTGGGTACTTCAGATCGCTAAATATGCCCCTTAAGGATCGGCCACATTTGTGATACCCGATAAGTATACCTTTCTCGAAATCAGAGAGTTCTGAACTGCAAGGCATCTTGCATGCGACTAAAGCCGATGCTGTTTCCTACACGATATATACCGGCGGAGTCCATGATGTACCTTAGGACCGCAAATATCGTCATTTGCATAGGTGTCCAAATACTTATTGGTAGTCAGTGTATTTGTACATAGGCTTCTCTTCATTAAATAGATTTAGTTAAAGGAAAGTGTCTTTGTTTGGCCAATAGAACACAAGAACCACCGATAATAGAAGATTAAGTAAGTTATTACAACTAAAGACAAGTTGTTCCGCTATATTTTATGTTGCTTCTATTGTGCACTGAGACAATTAAGCCCAATTTTGTATTAGTTTAATTATTTATCATACTTATGCCTATTTTTTGCACATGCTTAATGTTTATCCGAGTCCTGAATAAATAAATTCCCACAGATACTTAAGGCTTATTGAGGGCTGGTGCCTAATGCAGTCTCTGTGGCTCCTAAATTCTACTCCCAATCCCTCCACCGCCATCTGCCACTCGGTGGGTTCTGAGTTGGTTAATAATAGCTCTGGCACTGGTTCTGAGTTGATGTTAATAACAAATCAGCTATTCCTTATTCAAATAGTACTAAATGTATCTTTTGGCCAATGAGTATCATTAACAAAATTTATTTTTAGCATATGGAAGAAATGTTTGTTAAATTTTTCCTATCAAAATTTTTTAGCTCATTATCTGTAATAATCGCCAAGCGCAATGTCAACATAAAAGATTACCATATGCTTTGTTGTTCAATTGCTAATATAAAAGAAATTGTTTAAGCGTTGCTACATGAGACATTACTCAAGTTGTCATGTGTTGATAAACAAGCGGTGATGAAAACAAAATATAATAAATAATGATTCGCCAGGTTGTAGTCAGGGATATAAAATATTAGCAGACATAAAACCAATGATGTATTTATGTGGAATGTTTCGGTTTGATATACAGAAATACAGCTACGGAGCCAAATTATTGATCAAACAAATTTATGCCAAAATGATTGATTTTTCAATAACGAGGTATTTTGTTTAGTGCCGAAGTGAAATTAAGAATCAGGACTCTCCACATGCACTGGGGAGGGGAGTCAAATGCGCATTCATAAACCACACACACACAAAAAAAATTTTTTTAATTAAAAATTAATAAATAAATAAAGTTGGTGATAGCTTTGAGGTCCAGATTTTAGATCATTCCGGATATTGAACATCCGGATCTCGGACTTTGTACTATATATATGTAGTATTTTAGGTGCGTAGTAAGAGAGATAGATGCAAAATCCAGTAACTTCCAGATGTGGCTGTTTAAAACACAACTTTGTTCCATGGTAATTCACATCGGATCAATTTTGTAGACAAGGCATTTATCTAATCATTGTTAAACACGTTGATTTTTATATAGACTGGTTTTAAAAATATGACATAGGCATCTTAGACAACAAAGAATAGCATAAGCAGCACAAAGTTGCTTGCAAGGTAGAAGCCAGGTAAAGGAATGACGTAGTTGTTTTGCAAAGAGTATTTACACTAAGTATGATGCAAGAGTTCAGCTAACCTGTGATTGGTTAATTTTAGGTTACTATGTAATGTATAAAGATCTCGAATTTGGAAGAACTGATGAATGTAGGGGGGGGAGAACATAAAATGAATAGTTAATTTTGAGGTCATCGCCAATCGTTTCTTAAGATAGCCACTGCATTTTGTTATATCTTACATGGCTGTGCTATTACTGTAACAAGATGACTTGATGAAAGAAAGTTGCAATGGACTGACAATGGTTCTTTGCATTATAACTTGAAGAGAATTTATTGCGTACTTAGAAAGATGACACTAGAAGACAGACATGGTTGCTGATTTAGAAAACATAATTTTATTCCTTGATAACGCACATCATCACTATGGGTGCACTATGCCCCCCCCCAATTTTATACAGATTACATATTCTTTACCATTTCAGATAACATGACAGTTTAACGTCCAGATGTTGGGTTCAGACTTCGTGGATAAGTGTGCATGAACCCAACATGTGTCCCCTTGCCGCTAGCCACTAAGAGTGTACTTTTCTAATTTCATCCTTTAAAAAGATGTTATCTGTATAAAAGTGGAGGAGGTGCATAGCACACCTATAGTAATGATGTGCATTATCAAAGAATAAAATTATGTTTTCTAAATTAGCAGTCACATCTGTCTTCTAGGGTCATCCTTCTAACCACACAGTAAATTCTCTTCAAATTATAATGCAGAGAACTATCGTCAATCCGTTGCAATTTTCTTTCACCAAGTCATCTTATTACAATAATGGCACAGTCTTATTACATACATATTAATTCAAGAACACAAAATTTAAAACGAAAACGAAACTGCCACTTAAATATTTGACGGTCAACCTATTATCTTCGCGAAACAAGTTAAATGAGTGAAACACAAATTAAAGAAAGATACCAAATTAAAAACCAAAATTATATTTCAACTAGAAAAAATGGGAAATAGTACAGATAAAACCAAAACAATAAAAATTTTGTTAATCTCCTCTGTTTAATGCTTCAGTGTATATAATATATATATTACCGTGAAAGACCGAAATTGGAGAATGTCAACTTTCACCGAGAATATCAACATTGACCAAATACGTCGTTGAAAGACTGAATATTTCATTACATTCTTGTATACACTCAAAAGTCGTTAATTCGGACACCCATAACCCGGAATGATCTATAATCCATACCTCAAAGCTAAAAACTTTCTGCGCATGCATGGCGTTCACGCATGCGCATAGGCATTTACGCCTGTGCGTAAGACCTTTACGGCTGCAAATATGCATGTGCGCATGCGCATAATACGTTTATGCATGCGCGTTTAATGTATAACGGATGGTATAAGCTAAGCTAAAATTATCTAATTCAGTTAATGTTGTAGATTGCGTTGTTCCTTAATCTTCGAATTGGATCCGGCTTATTATTTTTTGCAGACTGTTAGAGCAATTTTATAAAAGTAAGCTTGAACTCTTGATTATGTCAAATAGAATTTCCGATATATATTTACTAATATCTAAAGGACCTACAAAGCGAAAGTATGTTTCGTAGTCCATTAAACAGAAAGTGGAATTGCTGCAAAAAATGGATAAAGGCATATCCTTTGATTATCTAATCATTCCGAAATATATTTATCAATTTCATGCTGCTCTGCGGGGAGAGGAAAACGACGCGGCGCGCAATGAATTGGAAGTTGATCTGTCAGCACTATCCTTATCTTAAGGGCAGATGTTTTTATTTTATTTAGCTTATAATTCCTTACTAAATGTAGTATTTCATCTCGATGTACTCCGTCTTTGATATGATTTAAATTAAGTTCCTCGTCATTACAATTCGGTTCTGATAGTGAAGAAAGTGACACCGAGGTTATTGAAAACGAAAAAATTTCCATTGACAAATTAGTCGGTATTCTCGAAACAGCAATTATAGGACTTGAACAGCGGAACTTTGTAACTAAACAAGAAATTATGTCTGTTTAATAGAATTAAAGAGAAAGTATTATCACATGAAACGAAGCAACTTAAACAACTTACATTGAAAGAAATGTTTAATAAAGTAAACAAATAAATATTTAGCTTTTACTTTTTGTAAATTTTGATATCCTTTAGATGATAATTGCTGTTTATTTCATAAATTACTGTTTCATATTTTTAATTTTATAATTTCTGCATGCCAACTTACCAGATTTAAACTGATGATCTATAATCCGGAAAAATCGATAATCTGGAATCGTCAAAGTCCCGACGAGTCTGGATTAATGACTTTTGACTGTATTTGGACCCTCACTGGTGTATGTCGACAATTACAGATATGCTCTGGTGAAAGTCGAAAAGAGAGGTCATAAAGTGCCATAATAGTTAAAGTTGTTGCAATAAATAAGATTTGAATCACATAATTTAGTAAGTTTTTTAATACTGTTATTTTATTTACTCATTTAGAACGTACTGTATAATTAAGTAAGTTTTTAACTTCTATTATTTTCCTTTCTCATTTTGAATGTATTGTGTGTTTTAGGTTCTCATGTTCTTAAGTTCTTATTTCAAGTCTCAAGTACGTTTATTCGCGACTGAATTAATAATAATTTAATAGAAGAAAGTATAATATTGTTATATGTTCAACATTCACCATTAGTACATGGTGAATGTCAACATTGACCGGTGTAAGTCAGAAATAAGAGTATTTGGAAAATATTTCGGACATACACCAAGAGACTATGTGAATGTTGACATTCACCGGTGAAAGTCGACATTCTCCAGATTTCGGTCTTTCACCGTAACATATATATAAATTATTGCCATAAATATATGCAAGTTAATCAAATGTATAAAGAAACCGAACATAATGAAATATAAATACCGAGAATATATGGGCTTGCCAGCTTCACTTAGCACAAAAATATGGTTGTCTTGTTGTTTCCAAATTGGATCATTCAACTCATTACCATCTTCTTTGTCCAAGTCTCCAGTTATTTGTTCAGCTTCAATAGTAACCATTTCATTCTTAGATTCCTTTAAAAGAAAACAGATCAATGTTAATATTTTAATAAAATATTTAAATGTGTACTAAAATTTAAGCAACAGTCAAAAATACATATAAAAAATCTACTTTAAAATCCTTACTTAATTCACATGATTTTTGTGATGTGCTGCATATCATTAATGCTACTTTGTGTAATTCTTCCATATATTGCGGAGCTATGTATTTTTTAACAAATATTAAAAAAATAAAAAAATAAAAAAAATCTGAAATGTTTCAGATTTTAAATTACGTCCAAAGGGGCGTTTTTTAACATTTTGTGTGTTACCTTTCTTTAATAAATATCATGTTCCTCGCACTTAAACCATAAGATCCAGTGCAACAGCAATATCGCAAAATAGTTTTAAAACGAGCATATCTTTAGAATTTCCGATACAGAGACTCACACGCTGGAGATAAAATGTTTTTTTCTGCACAACGTTGCCATTGCTCGCTTTGAAATCCTTGAGATTGTTAATCAAAAATTCGTCAAAGTTTTAAAAAATAGGAAATCGATCATAAAACAAATTTCAAATTTCAAATTTGGTCTTCCACATGCTCATATTCATTGGAGGATTAAGTTATTCAAAATTCGATTACTCTATGTACCGTTGTTTTTATCACAATACGAGAAATATACATACATTTATGCAGAATTTTTCCTTTTGTTATTTAATTTCTTCAAATTAATGCAGGACTCTAACATTTTGTGGCAACAGTTTGAAAAGTGAACCGACATTTATGAGTCCGACGCAAAATGCCAAAACGAAACTAATAGTCCTTCGGGATTCAAATCCCTTTGGACTAATCAGAGCAAAGTAGTTTAAAATTCAAAGAACTGAAAGAATATATCAATAATTTAATGCACAAACTGTCTTTATCAATTAAAGCTACAATAGAATTTGAAAAATTACATTTTTGAGAACTTGTATTGGATTCAGAAAGTGTTATTATTTAAAGCTGGTATTTGTAAGCATTCCTGAATTAACATCAGGCTGCTTGCATGTATCAACTATACAACATAAAAATTCTAATTATATTGCCTTTTAATACGTACATGAAAAATATTGGCTCTACTCTTATATATGCCTTAAGATCACCAAATATGGCGATATGTATTCTGCACTGGTTTTGGGGACGATGTTGTTTGTTTGGCAACCTTTTAGACGTTGAAACTTAACTCAGGTTTTGAACATTTATTTGTGAATCATACTAATACTATCAATTTTGTGGATAGTGAGTCTGCCTGTAATATAAATATCATAGAGAGTATGTGGCGGCATGTTACAGTTACGTTCTGCTGTCCGAAGATGTATCCATTATGGTAAGTGGATTTTATTTTATTGTTTTTATTTTGCAGAATGTTATGTTCATAATTTATTTTAGTTACTTTAGTTTATTTTGTTGATTTGTGCCCAATGCCTAGATTATGCAATTCATAGATGTTTTTTTAAGTTTAAACAGAATGCTGTGTACATGGTATTCTTTGAAATTTATTGTTGTTTTGTTAATTTATTTAAGTGAGGTGTGCGTAGTTCGTGGATTCCTTTGCTGCTGAGATTGTACAATTTGTAAATTTTTTTAAGTTAAAACATATCTGTACATGTGTACATGGATTCTTGTCACATGTATATGAGTACATGGATTCTTGTCAAATATTTTTGGTTAAAAACTTTATGTTTTTGCTATCTAAATTTTTTGTTTCTGTTTCGGATTTTTAACATAAATTGTGTGTCCAAAACGTGGTTTTTGCTTTTGCGAAAACCGCGTTTTTGGAGAAATTTTAGGCTTAAAGTTCGAAATGTAGACAAAATATTTAGATAGTAATATGGCACCATGTAGTTTCTCGCCAAAAATATTTAGCAAGAAATTTGTCGCCAAGCCGAGGACAAACATTTCTTTCAATGCGCGCATGCGTAAAGCATACATTACACATAATCGAAATTAGAAAATTGCAACCAGAAAACTATTTGATGTGTATTTGTGATATTTATAATGAATTTGATTTAAATCATATCAAAGACAGAGTACATCGAGATGAAATACTACATTTAGTAATGAATTATGAGCCGAATAAAATAAAAACATCTGCCCTGAAGATAAGGATAGTGCTGACAGATCAATTTCCAGTTCTTTGCTCTCCGCGACGTTCCCCTCCCCCGCAGAGCAGCGTGAATTTGATAAACAGATTTCAGAATGGTTAGAGAAACAAAAAATATGCCTTTATCAATTTTTTAAAGCAATTCCACTTTTTGTTTGATCGACATCAAAACATGCTTTCACTTTGTAGATCCTTTGGTAACTCCATCATCGGATTAGTAAATATATATCAGTGATTCTATTTGACATATTCGAAAGTTCTAGCTTACTTTTATAAAATTGCTCTAACAGTCTGCAAAAAATAATAAGCCGGATCCAATTCGAAGATTAAGGAACAACACAATCTGCAACATTAACTGAAATAGATAATTAGACAATTTTAGCTTAGCTTATACCGTCCGTTATACATTAAAAGCGCATGCGTGCACGTTCATGCGCATGTGTAAAGGTATTAAGTATTACGTGCATGCGTAAATGCATATGCGCATGCGCGAACGCATTATGTGTTGACGCATAAGCAGAAAGTTTGTAGCTTTGAGGTCCGCATTATAGATCCTTCCGGATTATGGGCGTCCGGATTTACAACTTTTAACTGCAGTAACTTTTAGGCACGATTTATAACTTCTTTCAAGTTTCCAGAAATATATGGAATAATAGCAATTAAAAAAACAATATGTAACACAATACTTAGTTCATATCAGTTTCTTTATTCATTGAAATGAGCCCTTTCTTTGGTCTCTTAAAGTTTTTAAAGATTCTTCTTTATTATTATGGTCCCTGTTATTTAAACTATGTCAAGATTACTGCCAAGTTTTATCTAAGTTCAGAATTTACATAGCAAACATGTTTACATCTTAATGTCTAAAAATGTCACATCCATTCCTCTGCCCAACAGTAAATACACTGCTGTATTGAAACAAATGAATCAGTTGTAAGCATGTATGTTTTTTTCTTGTTTGCAACTTTTCATGCTACACCTCCAAATGCTCTTGTTGATGGCCACTTTGGCACATTCAAATAAAATGTAAGGTAAAATGACTCTTTTTAAAAAAAAAAAAAGTTTTAACGTAGAAAAGGGTGTCCCTTAAACTGGCACCAAATATCGAAGCTGGTAGTGGTTTTCTGGTAATTCAGAATGGATTGTTTCCCCAATGTTACGGCAGCCTAACTATTTACAAAGTTTATTTACAACATATTAGCATTTTAAATTACTCTCAAAATGAAAGTTCAAAACTATTATTACCAACTCAGTCGGTTCTAAAACAAAGTGCAACAGAGTTGCCACAAAAAAAATATGCAAAATCAAATTATGCACTTCAGCGCTTTTTAACAGCCAAATCGGCAGTCACAACAGTTGTCGAGATTGATGAGAACAAGTTAGGCAAAAATTAAGTGTAACAGGGGTAAATGGGTGTGTGTGTGATTAAGGCAAAGCCTCGAGGGCTATCGGCCTAAGGGGAGGAACGCCTTCGTGGAGGATTTTCTAAGGGAAACTGGCTCGTATACACGTTACACATGGGGAAAACTATGAAAACGCCCATGCCGCCAGCCCGTTCGTAGGATTCAGACCGAACTACCAGTGTTGAGCGACTTTACCGCTCAGCAGCTGGTGGGCCATGGGGGTGAAAGGAAAGTGGGTGTTCGGTGGTATTGAGAGGGAATGGAAGATGAGTGTCGACTCAAATTGAACTGTGCTTTTGGAATAGGAATTTTTGTAAAGAAGTGTGTGGCTGTACATGTAAAAAAGAGTGAAATGATTAGTGGTCTTAGTATGGTTAAGAAGATTGATGAGGGCAAGTTCAGCAAAAGAATGGATAATACAGGTAGAAGGGCAAATAGAAAGTGGATGTTTGATACTGTTAAAAGAGGGAGTGGAAGGCTTTTTTATTGTTGTTGTGGAAGATCTCATGAAACAAACTTTTCAAGAGACGAATTCTCAAAAACTCCTACCTGAAACCACAATTATCTCAACCTGCTAGATAGCCTATCATCAGTAATTGCCGAAGCAATGATAGCATGTGCTTAACCACTTCTTATGATATATGTAAGTGGTACAGTACAAAGTCTGCAATCCAGACGTCCATTATCCGGAATGATCTATAATCTATAATGATTGACTGTGAGTAACTATGGTAGGAATTACTGGCCCTTTGGGAATAGTTAACAATATATATCAGCAAATTAGCAATAATACTAAACACCACCGTATAGAACTTATTTTCTCCACCTTATTTGGGATTGTAATTGAAGCCAACTTTTATTCCTGCACTTTTTACACACACTAAATGGAAATAGAAGAATAAAATTAGGCGATTCAGATTGTCTGCTGAAGCTTTTGTTCCCATAGTTATGAGGGAGGTTGGGCAGCAGAAAATAACTTTGAAGGGTAAAAGTATATTTACAGGTACCCATTGGCGAAACTTGGCGATTTTGGGTGGTACATGGATACAAGTTTGTGCAATTCTTCAACTTGTTATTTTGGCTTGTGTAGCGGCTACACAAAGCCAAAATAAAGAGACAAAGAACTACCCAAACTCAGTATCCATGTACACATTCACATATTTTCACTTAAAAAAACCATCCTAGAATTGCACAAAAATGGCACTGCGCACTCCCTTGATTTTATCCATGTACACATCAACCTATTTTCACTTAAAAAAACATCAGAGAATTGCACAAACTAGGCTTTGCGCACTCCCTTGACTTTGTCCATGTACACATTGAATTACATTCACTTAAAAAATCAAAGGAGCAACCAAAAATATATATATATATATATATATATATATATACGAGGGCTATCCAGAAAGTAGATTACGTTTTGGAATAAAAAAATAAACAAAGTATAGGAAACAAATTTTATTATATACAGATGAAAGCCACACTCAAATAC